AAAAAAAAAAAAAAATTACAACTTAACCCAAAAGTTAGTAATAAAAGGTAAACTACCAAAAAAAAATTATTTTGGTAGGTTGCCTTATCCAAATGTCAATGAGTTAAAACTTGAAAATGGAATGGACAATCGAGTAATTTAAGTGGTAATAAAAATATATTATAAATTTAGATATTTTAAATTTATGTCATAATAAAATTATTTTTTATAAATATTTTAATTTCAATATTTTTAATTTAATCGAATAAGAAATTAATTAAGACGGTCCAAAACGAGGGATAAGGATTTTTTCTGTGAGAGCGNGATATTTATTAATATAACCGTTAAAAAATATAATTTTATCCTAATAAAAAATTATAATTTTCATACTACCCTTTATTTTGTGAATCCGTTATATTCCACAGTTCAAAATTAAGTTTATCATTTGAAAACTTAATATAATGTACGNGTTTTCTGGTTTCCATTCACTCCCTAGGTCCCACTTCCACCTCCCCACTTCCGTTACAACCACCTAGTCCACCACTCCCTTCCATCTTCTTCCTAAAAGCATCGGTTACNTATATCACTTAAACATAATTATTTGGATGCCTAATTAGGAGTATATTTTTAGTCATATTTAGATTCTAAAGGGATATAGGTGTAATAATTCAAATATGGGGGGTCTAGGTGATTAAGTGACATGTATAAGGGGATCTAAGTGTAATTTATTCATTCAATTTTAGACGGCAAACTGATAGCTGGTAGCTTGAGGTGTGCATTGAAATATATTTTTATCTTTGAAGGTGTAAATTAATATTTTTGATTTTTGAGGATATAAATTGAGATTCGAACAATCTTTCGAAGTGTAATTTGAGATTTAACCAAAAAAATAAATAATGTAAGACAATAATATTATTATAAAAATATAAAAAAATATTGTTTTGAAAGAGTCAATATTCGTGATATCAATTAACAGGTAATTTTTAGTCTCTAAAACGGTCAAGAGGGAAATTCAATTCTACAGACCGAATAGAGGAAATAGTCANTATTCGTGATATCAATTAACAGGTAATTTTTAGTCTCTAAAACGGTCAAGAGGGAAATTCAATTCTACAGACCGAATAGAGTAAATGGTCAATGGTCAATGGTCATGGCTTCAAGCCCAACCAAAATAGAATGTCAAGGGTATGACTATGGTAAAATTTTTATAGGTGAAGGTATAGTTTTTAGGGGTTAATTATAATAAAAAAAAGTTATAATTTTTTAGGGTTAACTTAAAATATTTTGTGGCCAGATTATAATTATTTAGAATATTTAGGATCGATTATAAAATATTTAAGGTCAATTTTAAACACAAAAAAAAAAAAAAAATTACAACTTAACCCAAAAGTTAGTAATAAAAGGTAAACTACCAAAAAAAAATTATTTTGGTAGGTTGCCTTATCCAAATGTCAATGAGTTATTTGAACTTTTACCTTACCTGTTAGCTCATTAAATTCACCATTATTTTTATATAATTAAATTTATGTCATAATAAAATTATTTTTTATAAATATTTTAATTTCAATATTTTTAATTTAATCGAATAGGAAATTAATTAAGACGGTCCAAAATGAGGGATAAGGATTTTTTCTGTGAGAGTGNAAATTTATGTCATAATAAAATTATTTTTTATAAATATTTTAATTTCAATATTTTTAATTTAATCGAATAGGAAATTAATTAAGACGGTCCAAAATGAGGGATAAGGATTTTTTCTGTGAGAGTGGAATGGAAGTGGGGCCATTAGTTCGGGCGTTTTCTGGTTTCCATTCACTCCCTAGGTCCCACTTCCACCTCCCCACTTCCGTTAGAACCACCTAGTCCACCACTCCCTTCCATCTTCTTCCTAAAAGCATCGGTTACTCTCTCTCTCTCTCTCTCCGCATTGCGTTCTTAGATCGCCTGATCGACCTTTTAGCAAATGATCATTTGAGGTAGGTTGTTTGTTGTATTTAGATATATTGATATATATACCATATACAAGTTGGCCTCTTTCTCTGTATTATTTGAATTATTGGACTTGTGTGGGATTTGTACGATTGGGTGGACAAGTTCTCCTTCAACCTGAACCACAGGTTCGTGTTTAGAGGTAATTTTTGTGTGTTCTTGTGCTTATGGTATTTTTTGATACAAGAACATTTAGATCTTGATTTTTCTAGATGTTTGTAAATCGTGCAGATATATGCATCTTTTTTTGCCTCCATGAGTTTTTTCATTTATGTATGTGAACTCTCTGGGGTTTTCTGGGTTGTGGGTTGGTTGTTGTAGTAGTAAAACAAGTTCAAGTTTAATATTCTCAGTTGGAGCTCCCAAATTTCATTGAAAAATGCTATTGGACCTAATTTTGGGGCTTAATCTGGGGACTTAATTCAATGCGACCATTGGATTGAAAGTGGACTTCATCTAACATTGAAACTCACACTTAAAATGACGGTTCTATCGAGCTGAAAAGTGCCACCTGATCTTGAGAAACTAGGTTCTATTGCCCTCTTCGTTAGCAGCATGTAAAAGAAAAATTGGATAATGTTTTATTAATTTTTAAGCTGTTGTCCAAAGTCATTATCTCATTTTGAATATAGTAGGTTTGGAACTGATATTAATAGGTCTGTCCATTTGCATGAGATCTACATTCTGCACAATGTGTTACGTATGTGGTTCAGGCCCTTAAAGGCCCTTATAGACAACATTAACTTTTTAGAGGAGATCATATGTGACAGTTGCCAATTGTGGTTTACCTTGTGTTTGCATTAATACTAGCTGATGATTGGGGCATATGCACCCTAATACTTACTAAGGAACATCATATCCTATAATCTTTGACAAACTTCTCCTTTTATGATTGCGAAAAAAGGCAATTCAAATTAACACCAACTTCAAAAAGGGAAAAAAGAATAGAAAGGAAAATATTCACACACAAATATAATTGTGCAAGGAAATTTGCGACTAGAAATGGGCCATAAGTTTATGCTTGTATAGACATAATGCCATAATGTGTTTCCATGGTGTTTAATAGTTTTTTTTTTCCCAAACGCCACCCCAAGTGTTAATTTCTGGTACTTATGGGAAGTATTCCTATACAATTTCTGATGCCCACTCCAGTAATGGCAAATTCATATTCCTAATAAGTGACTTGAGAATTCCTTGACGTGGGTAGAGAGTCAAAGTGGTTGCAAAGACCCTAAGTCTGCATGATGAAATAGGTGAGGTTTTCAAACTAGATCACAATAAGGCATTAGCGACATGCATAGGAAAGTGATGAGATGTGGATGGTTCTGTATGTCTTACACCCCTCTTTTGAGATATCAACTGTTGAGTTTTTCGCAAGTTTGACCGCAAGGAAATTTTAATTGTAATTCATCTCGAACAGCCACCATGGTGGCCCTTGTATGCCATTGAAACACGTGTTTTGAAACTTTGGGAGCTGATAGTTTACTTTACATGTTGACTGGCTCTGGTACTGAATAGTTATTAGAATTTGAAGCATTGGCAGCTTTGTGGCATATTGGATTTACAGCTTTCCCTTTTTTTTTTGTAGGTCTGTCCTGACTGTTTATCGTATTAATTCTTCTAAAGCAACACTCCAAGTGAATAAGTTTCCTTTTCCTAAAATATGTTGGGGAGCAATATTGGTAATGAAGCAATCCCTGTTTTCCTTGAGGAGAACTGTTTCCAGTATCCTGCTAATTCATCAAACCAGTTGCAGTTATTTCAACATCGTGAGTTTTCTGTTCATTCCATTGGCAGCTTAAAATTTTATTTTGTGGATGTATTTACTATATTAGTTCTTATAAGGAAATGCTTGTGGTTATGTGTTTGTTTTTCTTATTATCCTTCTTTTTTGCTATTATGCTCTACCAAATATGCAGCCCTTGAGCAAGGTAGTTGTCCTTGTTTACTGGTACATAGGTTAGTACTTGCTATGATTGGACCAAACTTTGAGTTAGTTTTGAATCAGTGCTGGAAAAGAAAAATATTCACCCTTCCTACTTGTCACTTGCACATGATCAGGCTTTCTATTGGATGCAGGTGGTGTAGTGCTAGAATAGCAAACCAGACGATTCACTACTTACCTTACCTGTATAAATGACTTGGCACTTGGTGTTGTTTGCTTTGGCATTTGCTTCGACCCTGGCTAATATGATAGGAATTCCAATGGATAACCCTGGTGGAAACATTTGCTTCTTTTTCACCATGAGTGACATGTGGAGCTGTTATTGCTTGACCTCTTTTGCAGCTTGCCCTCTACAGTCATTTACAATTTGGATTTTCATTGTTCATTCCAATGTTAATGGCTAAGTTATACAAAAAAGAAGCTGAAAATTTTTATATCAGGCAGAACAAAAATTTATTTTGAACGTCAAAATGTTATCAATGTCTTTTTGTTTTTCTTTTTTGCATAGAACTCATCAAACCTTTTGGAACAGTCTAAGGGAGTACTGGGGATGGTCCCCAGCAGTCCTATTAGAGTGTTCTTTCATACATGCCACCTTTTGTTCATCGTGGTTTAGGAAAGTGCTACAATGATGAATTGTGTCTGAAGCGTAGTTGGCAGCTGTACGTTTTGTACAGTATATCAATATAGAAAAATGTCATTGTCAGCATATATACTTATGGGATCATCACCATGTTTCTTCTGTTTCATTTCTTCCATTTTCAATATTTTTAGCTCTTGCCAAATGGAAAATTAAGAACTTGAGAATTCTAACGTTTATCATTGTAATAAGAGAAGAAAGAAGCAGCAGTGGGAAAATTTGGCTTGCATTACCTATTATGTCTAGTCCAGTGGATATTTACATGGGAGTTACAATAATGCTTATATTTGGGTTTTGTGACATTTTCTTCAAAATAATTAGATAAATTAGTTAAATGTGGTTGCTTAACAAAACTAGTAGTGATCCTCTTGGTTGAGCAGTTGCTATGCCATTAGTATCTTTCTTATCTTGGCTTGCAGTTTATGTTATCTGTTGCCTATATTCAATCTTGTTGGCTTTCTAGTATTTCCTCCGATCTTTAATATGCCACATTGCAATTTGTGTTGTAGTACCAGTTGGATGTACTGTTGATAAAGTAAATTATTTTGGAAGTGAGAATAAGACCCCTATATTTCGGCCTAATAAACGAGGCCGGGAAGCGAAAGACATTTCAAGACAGCGGAAGCTTCAGATTTCCTGGAATCAAAATATCTATCATGATGAAGCTGACAGACCAACAGCTATTCAAAACCAGAATCCTGTGTCAACCGGTTTAAAGCTATCATATGATGATGATGAACGCAACTCCTCTGTCACTTCTACAAGTCGAAGTATGACTGCACCATCATCAATTATCTTACCATTAAGTGACAACATTACGACTGAACTTGATCGACAAACAGAAGAATTGGATCAATATATTAAGACTCAGGTATTGTTGGCTCTCGCTCTCCCAGTGAACTATTAGGTGTATGTTATCTGCTATAGTACGGTATTCGTATTGGAGCCTTGCTAGATATTCCACGATGGTTGGGTGTAATCTGAATGAATTTCTAAACAAGTTGATCTTTAGTTGACCGATTTGTCATGTTTATGATGTTGATAGTAGTACCTCATTAGTTTCCAAAAAAAAAAAGAAAACGATATTAGTTCCTCATTCATGCAAAGGATTTTTCACCATATTTTGACATGGATTTCTAGTTATCACAGTATCTGTTTCACCACTTACATAGATATTGCAATTGGCTTTTTGTACTTAGCTCGAGGTGATTTTTCCAGGGTTTTAATACTAATTTATCAAATATGATGCGCTGTTATCAGTCTTCCAACATGCCATTACTTTAACCATTTCAAATTCTTTCCTTTTTCTTCCTTGCATTATCACGTGAAAAATGTTACTCCAGCCTCATTTCTTCAATGGGTTACTCTCTGAATTATCAATGGTGTTTATTTGATGTTTGACCTGGGAAAAGCTAATCCAATTCAGTATAATATTTATGAATTTACTTTTCTAAGACTGAACTAGTAAATAATTAATGATGTTTTTTCCTGCTATATTGCTAATTAAACAGGAAATACATTTAGTGAAGGGGTTAAGGGACATTAAGCAGAGACACACGGCTTCTTTTCTGACTGCTCTACAGAAAGGTGTTGGTAAGAAGTTACATGAGAAAGATGTAGAGTTAGAGAACATAAATCGGAAGAACAGGGAACTAGTTGAGAAAATGAAGAAGGTGGTAATGGAAGCCCAGAATTGGTGCTACAGGGCCAAATACAACGAATCGGTTGTTAGCATCTTGAAAACCAAACTCCAGCAAGCACTACATGGTGCTGACCAAGCCAAAGAAGGATTTGGAGACTCTGATATAGATGATGCTGCCTCCTGCAGTTACACCAACAATTACGTCAATGTTCCCAGTGGGGCTGGAAAGTTGATGAAATCCGTGAAGGATAATATGATTTGCAGAGCATGCAAGGGTAAGGAGTTATCTATCTTGTTAATGCCTTGTAGACACTTGTGTTTGTGTAAAGATTGTGAAGGGTTATTCAATGTTTGCCCTGTATGCCAGTTGCCGAAAACGGCTAGTGTCCAGGTTTACTTGTCTTAAAATATCAACTAAAAACATAAAAATTGAAAATTTTCACTCTTTTTTGGATATGCCATTTACATTGCCTTCTTTCGTTATTATCAAGAAATGCATGTATTTACTTATTGAATTCAGAAAATGGAATGCTGATGATTTTTCGTACTTTGGGTGGAATTTGATTCTTGTTAATTTATTGGCTATGTGGACATATTATGGAAAATGAGATCATTTTACTGTCTGTAATAGCTTCTAATAAAAGTTGGTGTATGGCATATACTCCTAAAACAATTATGTTGTTGCTGGACTTGTGCCTGCCCTCTATCTGGTATGCCTGCCAAGGTCTCTAATTATAGAATGCTTCTCACTTTTTTTTTTATTTTTTTTTATTTAAAAAAAGGGGGTGGGAGCAAAGAGAACACCCAGAGAGACCACCTAGATAGACCTTTATTTGTGAAATCATGAAGCCTTGACAGCACCTATTACTCTTCTTGGGAACGAATCTTAGAAAGTGGTCTTCTCACTTTGTTAAGTTAAAGAACCTCTGGTTAGATCTTCAGTTTCGAGCCTCGCACGCCAATGTTCCCGCGTCTTCCATGTGTGATTGAAATCTGGTATCGAAACGATGATCCACAAAACCAGAATTGTTGATGACTTAAAAACCAGAATATCGTTGCCAAAAATTAGAAGATCTCTGTGACCATGGTTTAAAGAACCCAATGGCTTGATCGAAAATGAAATGACTTTTGCTACAAGCAAAGTAAAGTTGTCTGAGATGACAACGATGGCGTTCAGACGGTGGCTTAAAGCACCCAGTGGCTTAAAACCTTAAACCCCTTTACAGGCTCTGTAGCAAGAAATTATATATTCAAAGCAACTTACGCGAAGGCTACTGTATTTCGTTTGCAGAAGCCGAAACTAATAAACAACCCTATAATCAAATATTGCCTGATCCACTAAAGAAACCTGAGAAACTCCAAAGAAACATTTGACAGTTTCGTTTTCGGACATTGTTCTTATCATATTTATAACCGATTTGGAGTTGCAAATGACTAAAATTACGTTTCACATGAAGCAAGAAAAACACCCATACTTCTGCGGTAGAGAGCGTAAGTCCTTGTAGTTTCTCTGTAATACAAAACAATGCAACCCTTCTTTTTAAGCACAACGCACATGGAGAGAAGTATAACATTTCCTTATTGCCTACTATGCTCATAGGACAATACAGTATGTGTAGAGTCAGTAGTGGCAACAATCTGTGCTGGAGGCGGTTCTGTGTGGGGGGTGTCCATGTGTCGGGTTGGGTTAGGTGGACGAATTTTTTTTTGAGTCGGACTAGGTAGTGTAGGTTCAAGCCCTTACCCAAGTGAGTTATCGGCCAGCTGAGCTGGGGTGGGCTACCCGTAGCCCAACCCACGAGCCTATTGGACCGGCCTGTGGGTGGGCTTGCTAGATGGACCTACTCGCGGGTTTTTTCATATACAATTTTATTTAAAAATAATGAATATTTTTGTTATTTAATATTTGTGCAAATTATATTTTTTAAATCAAAAATAGAGTTAAAATGGATAAAAATAAAATAATGAATAATTTTATTTGTATAACTAGGTTAACGCCTACTCACTTATCTATCATTTGTATTACTCTACCATTTAAAACTTGTATGCTTAATACATGAAAAAGAAAATAGTACATTATTTATAGTATCTAAAATTTCAAAACTTTAAATTCTGATATTGGAAGACTTATTTCAAAGTTTCAAATTTAATGGTCTAAAAGTATAACTTTTAAAAAAAAAAAGGGTGAGCAACTTGGGCTTGGTGGACGAACTCTTGGGTCGGGTTTTAATAAGTTTTTTTGAGCGGCCTATTAGACCGGACTTTGGACTGGGCAATGAGTTTGAGGGTAAATTCAAGCCCTATTTTAAAGGATATTGGACTTAGACTGGCTAACTATCGAATTTTAGGCTTATTTTTTTGGGCCAAATAATGAAACTTGTGAGTAACCCGACCCATGAATACCCCTAATTATTGGACCTATTTTTCTGGTCGGATAATGAGACCCTTAGATAATCCAATCCATAAACATCTCTAGTTCTGTGAGTGATCAGTGTAACAAAGTAGAGGATTGACATAGTCTTACGCAACACCAACTCGACACGAATCGTTAAACTGGGAGGCAGTGATGACATGACCAGTGCAATTGACTTCGATGGCGATTAGGAAAGATTAACTTGGCTGGTGGTGACGAAGATCACCGATGGTATAAAGTGGAGAGTCTCGCCCATGGCAATAACAGCAAAAGCAATTGAAGTGACGAGGCATTTTAAGGGGTTATGTTGTTGACAGTTGATGGTGGTTCCTCCCCGCGTAAATAGGACATCCCACAATGTTGTTGAGGGACAAATATTCCTAACACCATCGCACTTGACATTAAAAATACCACTGTATTTTCCTTCCTCACACAACAGAAGGAGAATTGATCCCTTAGTGAATTTTTGTTGTGCATGAAAAACAACTAAACTCATTCAAACGCTACCAAAAACATTTGCTTTTCAGAAGCAGAAGCACGAAGGTATAGTTGACCTTTACAAACAAAATCAATATCTACTAATCACAATACAAAATGCATGAACCAATATCCAAATTAAGCAGTATAGTGACCAGCCACAAGAAGGGAAGTGAGGCTCATTTCATGTTAGTAGCTCGTCCTTTTTCTATTTTGACCAAGGGAGGTAGGATTGGAAATGAACCCAAGCTTACATCCACCCAAGACTCTGAGCAGAGATCAGAGCTTATCATATCCTTTCCGTTTTTGTCGATGATAAACCGGATCAGAAAAATTGTTGATACATTCCAAGTATCTACATAACACTATAGAATATTAATTATGGGTACAGTAACTTAGTAGTATGGCGTAAGTCATCCAATAGTGCAAGGGAGGCCTACCGCAGACAATAATCAAAGCCATGAGATTAATAAACTGAGCACAGACAGAAAGACGAGGCACAGAAACTTTGAAATACAGCTGCCTTGTCCATTATTAAAAGTTCATCAGATTCTTCTTCTATTGTCCACTAGCCTTTTCTTGGACGGCCCAGCTTCTAAATCCTCGACACTTGATTGTATCTAAAACAGAAAAGAAAAATATAGTATAGATGAAGTCCAACCCAAACTTCAAAAAGAAATCATAAAACAGTATTTAATCTTCAAGTGTTTGATAACCTTATTAAGCTTCTCCCTGACTAGCTGGACAGTCTGATTCATTGATCGCGAGGAGAAGTAATCCTGACATTCAAATAAAGGAAAGAAAAACATTTGTTTTGTTAGCACCAGAAAGATATGAACTAAGCAACTTCAGCACTTAAATGGGATAAGTTCAAAAAATGGGAGTTTACCACACCTTTTAGTGACGTATAGCTTACATCACACCTAGTATACAAAACCATGCAAAATGCTCTTGTAGGGCAAGGACAATCTAGCCGCAATGATAATTTGAAGAGATCTAAGAAGTAAGAATGAGTGAATATGCAGTTACCACCAGCAAGAGGAAGTTTGGGGGAATTATAATGTAAATGATGTCAAGAAGTTGTCTTTACAACAATTCAAAAAACTCCAATAAGCAATTATGCATTACCACCTCAGAGTTCAACAATTAGGTTGACGCTGCTGCAGAATTTCTGCAGGTCAACTACTCCAAAACTGAACATGAAGAAAATGGAACTTATTTTTCAGCCACAACGTATTGAGTGATGAGATAAGAAACATGCTACTGGCCACTTGAAGGTGTGTTTGGGTAGAATAAGAGCTAAGTTCGGAATGAAGCCTTCATTAAAGGAGGTTAAGACAGCAAAAAATATGAACCAACGATAAATTTCCATTAGAGAAGCTATTTTCACCAAGCAAAAATGACTACAATGGATTTAATGAACAAGGAATGGTTCAACATAAACTAACTCAACTCAAATCAACTAAACCTTGTCCCAACCTTTTTGGGGTCAGCTACATGAATCCTTTTTCCTCGTTGCGATGCTTTAACACACACTATCTTGTCAATTATGTGAGGCTTTTAAACAAGCAAATACAGTGCAGCTATATCTCACAGTACATATTCTTGCAACTGCTGACACGCTACATCAATCACCATAGTAAATAGGCAATGTAATGACAGAAAATAGACTGCATCCAGTTCACATGTAATTTGAAAGGAAAGATTAGGTGGTAAATAATAATTTGAAATGCCCTCCTTCAAATCAAATTATTTGAATGCCATTCACAAAACAAGTAAAAACCTTGTCAGAAGAAACCGTTGTGATGGAAACACGATCTTGAGTGGGAAATAGATGTCCCGACTCTCGGCATTCCCTACAACAAGCAAAAATTAATAGATCGTCCATGTCAATTTCTTGATAAAATACCATTCCAGACTCCATTCAGCAGAGCAACTTAGAAGTTTGAATTAAGTAGCGTTCTACCTTTGGTTGGAGTTTATGGGTTGGGAAATGCTATTGATCTGTGCTGGAGTTCCACCCAATAATGGATCATTGAAAGTAATTGCGCAAGGAACTGTAGGCCCTTTGGATCTTGCAGCTGAAATTCATAAATCATGGGCATGAATACCTGTTTTCTTAAAATATTTCATTTATTGTTGGTTATCATCATGTCTTACATTATGAAACTTACGGTTCAAGCGAGCAAGAACTTCCTTTCTTCTTCCTTCTAATTTCTCCTTTGTGTCAGAAAGGCTCTCAAATTGGGGTGCATATGAGATCTGCAGCCGATTCCCAAGGAAAACAAACTCGTCCAATTTCCTTTTTGCAAATCTATATGAAAGAATTAAAGCCTCAAACATGCCACACATAAAAGTTGCACAATATATGTGCCGTCAACCAATTCCATCATCCAGTAGAAAAAACGGAACATATTGGCCTATTCTACATTCAATAAGCACAATAACAAACTTGATTAGTGCATATCACATAAAAAAAATATTAACAAACAGCTATAATCACCTGGCATTGTTGACATGACGAAACTTGACCAAGTAAACGTCGGTGAATGGCTCACAGTCCTCAGCATCCATTGGTTTACATCTGAACTAGCCACATCAATAAAAAAAGCAACCCACTTAATGAAACAACATCAATGCAAAGTTTGCATTTATTAAAACTGCACTACTACAACCTTTGCATCAAATAAACTCTACAGTTCAAAGCATCATGATTATAATCGAATAACAAATGCAACTCTTTTCCATTAAGTCAATGCAAGCAAAATTAACAACAATCACCAGGATAATCACATTTCACAATAACAAAAAATTACTGAAACTATGAATTTGACATGAACCCATTTCATATAAGTGCAAAATTTGATTTTTAAGCAACCTAAAAAATCAACAGAGAGAGAGAGAGAGAGAGAGCTTACTCTTCAACCTCTCCATAGGTACTGAACAATTTTAACAACTCATCACCACAACCCAAAGCTGGAACATTCCTCACAATCAAATATCTGTCCCAAACACGTAGAAACTAATTAAATATTAGCAAGAAATACTAAAAATATCAAAATTAGAAAAAAACTACAATAAAATAGATATATGTCTAACAGACAGAAGCGTACTTGGATTCGTCACAAACTGTATAAACACGAACTGCAGGCGGCTTGTCTCTGTCATGAGGCATACCTTCCCTCCGTCCTACATCGATATGCTGTGATTCTTTACAGATCAAAAGCCAAGCTTATATATACGGACATGCATATAAAATAGAACTACTGCTCACCAAATCTGATAGTTGAAACTTGAAGTTATTAAAACTGGACCGCGCATCGACTCGGCGTGGGACCGGGTCAATGAGTCACTAGATCAACCGTTGGATTGATTGGTTGGACCGGTCATATAATAATTTTAATTTAAAAAAAATATACAAAAGTATTAATTAAGCTAATATATTATGTTTTATAACAATTACATGCTTTATGTATACTGGGTCAAACAAAATCAAATAATATGAAACATGTCCACAAATCAGGATAATTAAGTGCATTCTAAGGGGGTCTCTAATAATAAAGATAAAGTCTCTTAATATACACAAATGATCTCAGTAGCAGTTTTAGAACTAGAATATATACAAATTTGAAATCACTATATTAATACTCACCAATCCAAAAGCTGTGGGTGTAAAAACCCAATCTTGCGAGCCTAGACGATCACCTTTGTAAGTGATAAAAATAGAAAGAGGCAAAAAAATGGAGATGTTTGGTGGGATCAGTTGGATGCAGTGTGTGAGGGATGTTTTCTATGCCAAATCGAGACCTATCGTTAATGAGTGGTGGCAGAAAGATCAATAAGTACACATCTGAAGTTATATCTATGTCTCACTCTACAAAGAAAGTGACAGAAATTTAAGGGAGAGAGCTGCAAAAAATTACCTAAACTGAAGCTTGCTTGCATACGACTGAGACGAGATGAAATCACAACCAAGACTTTCGGAGATGAGATCCCTGTCCAAAGACATGGAAGATGGGAGAGCACAGTATTAAAATCCCAATCCCATTGGGTCAAAGGTCGAACTGGTAATAAAATAAAAACTAACAAATAATTATATATAGGCTAAAAAATCACAATAATTATGAAAATAACATCAAAAATATCAAACATGCATCAACTGCATTCAATTTTCAATTCAACTTGTAAAGTTGAGTAGAGAAAAATGCCTAATCTGTATAAATTGAGTCAGTGTATAATTAATCATTGAATTATTCCATGTATAAATTCGAACAAGAGCTTTCCATCCATGTATAAATCATAGAATTATCAAAGATTCAAGGCGTCATTGATTTCAGACTCTCAATTGTCTCCTCTTTCAGCGTTTTCTTCGCTCCCGAGGACATAAATTTCTTCACCCACCAAAACCCAATTCATTACAACTCAAATTTTAACTTAAGAACACATATAAATACTATAAACTTTCATATATATATATATATATATATATATAGAGAGAGAGAGAGAGAGAGAGAGAGAGAGAGAGAGAAATTGTGAACCCTAGAGTCAGAGACTGAGTAGAGAGACCGAAAGAGAGACCGAGAGAGGTAGTTTGTACCTGCTACTGTCAATGGTAGTCGTCGAAGCCTCGATAGAAGCTCTGAAGCAGCCTTCTTGATCGAAGCTCTTGTTCCTTCACTCGTTCCACTTCGATTGAGGAGACCCTTGCTTGCTCGCGGCGCAGAGAGAGAGAGAGAGAGAGAGAGAGAGAGAGAGAGAGAGAGAGAGAGAGCGAGAGAGGTGCCGGCTGAGAGGGGCGTCGACAAGGCAGAGACGCGGAGCAGTAGGTGGGGTGCCTGGGGTGGTCAAGGCTTGAAACGATTTAGGGCAAAATGCCCAAAAGGGGAAGGGGCAAAGCTCAGCGTTTTATCCTAATTTAATTGATCCAACCGGTTTGCTTAAACTTGTCCCATTTTAACGTTTCAACAGGTTTTCATCCGGTTCAGGAGGTTTAATCTGGTTTTAGTGCACAAACGATCCTACAGGTGAACCAGCCTCGTTTAAACTCCGGTTCACTGGGTCAACCCGTTGAGCCGGGGCGAGTTTTAAAACAATGTGGGAGAGTGAAGATAGAGAGATGATTGCCACACATAGGGTATTATGGCACGACAGCGAGCAGAGAAAGAGCCTGGAGAGACGGAGAGACCTGGAGAAGAGATCGAGTGGAAACTGCTTGAGAGTAGACGGATTGGATTTTAATCCAAATTCAAATCAAATTAACAGAGTGTTAAAAAAAAAATCAAATTAACTGGATATAAATTGATTTTTTTACTAATAATTTGTATCCGATATTTTATATTTCAAGAATTGAGATTTAGATATATTCATATCCAACTCAAATTATTTATATATTAGGGGTAACCCGTGTTTGAAAGTACGGTGTAATGTGAATAATTGTGAAAGAAATATTGATGGTCATTAAATAACTCTATTTGAGACTGTCGAATGAACTTATTGAAACTTTCCGTGTTTTATATTATATATTTATATATAAATATTAAAGAAATTAAGTGATTATTTAAAAAAATTTAGTTGAAATTTAGTTAATTAAATTATTTAGATTGAAGCAAATTCTGAATTGAATTTTACATTATTAATGGACTTGGACATGAACTACGAAAATAAAATCCGTCTCCAACTTTCCAACTAAACGGCGATATTGTCCAGGATTAAAGAAGCATTCACCCTTACTCTCTAAGAGTTTATGAATTGAATCCATAGGAATGTCCATTGGTTGACCACATAAAAATCATGTTTCCTCCTGTTGGAGTATAGATAGTAGTCTAGGTTTATTAGGATTTCTTTTCTCTTTTTTACCCTTACTATGATTTTTATATTTTGCCTAAACTACAAGNCTGTTTCCTCCAAAAGATCAACCGCATATTTTCTCTAAGATAAACTTATGTCATGTTTAGATCTAACAACTTTGATACCAAAAAAATATCTCAGTTTGTCTAAATCTTTGGTATGAAACTCATGCTATAAAAAGTGTTTCAACTTTACAATACCCACAAAATCATCATTTGTAATCACAATAACATCAACATAAACAACAAGAAGGATATTACCTGCCTTAGTTCGTAAATAAAATACGAAGTAGTCTATTTGGCACCTATAAAGACCAAACTTTAATACTGCCTCTGAAAATTTTTCAAACCATGCACGCAAAGATTGTTTCAACCCATATAAGGCTTTCTTTAATTTACACACACGGCCCTAATACTNTTATCAACATAAACAACAAGAAGGATATTACTAGCCTTAGTTCCTAAATAAAATACGAAGTAGTCTATTTGGCACCTATAAAGACCAAACTTTAATACTGCCTCTGAAAACTTTTCAAACCATGCATGCGAAGATTGTTTCAACCCATATAAGGCTTTCTTTAATTTACACACACGGCCCTAATACTCCCTTTGAACTACAAATTCAGGTGATTGTTCCATGTAAACCTCTTATGCTAAATCACTATATAGGAAAGCNCTCCCTTTGAACTACAAATTCAGGTGATTGTTCCATGTAAACCTCTTATGCTAAATCACTATATAGGAAAACATTCTTGACATCTAATTGAAAATTGAAAAAAAGATGAGTGAAAATTAGTAGCAAGTGAAATTAAAATTCTGATAGAAGAGATTTTAACAAGAGAAAATATCTCAGAATAGTCAACACCATAAATTTAGGTATATCCTTTAGCAAGCAAACGAGCTTTGAGACAATCTATTGGGCCATTATGTCTCAAGAGAAATCACAATAGCAATATATAAGGATACAAGGATTGTAGAATGTTACTAATTGTGCAATCTAATTTGGTAACTGCCAATAAAGAGAACATAAAAAATGTGGTCTCAACAATCAACTCACAAATAGAAACAAGTCCCATAATATCCTCTCTTCTCCACCAACATTTTCATCCAATTTCTATTTGGAGTTTGTTATGTGGATAATGAAATATTATTAACAATAGTTTGCGATACGATATTGTGAGAAACATGACATCTGAGATATAATATGAGACAAGAATTAAACTAAATGTGGCAGGTCTAGAGACGCCCATAGTTGATCTATTGGATTTCATTTGTACTGCTCAAATGGAAAAGGATGCCGATACCTCTCTTGAAGACTTGTCCAATGAAGATCACCTCAGACTCTATCCGCAGCCAAAGATGAAGTCCCTTTTTCTGCATTCTTGCACCACTAAATGCTTCTATGCATAACTACTCTTGAATCTTGGCTGATGTTGATCTTTCATTTTTCTTTTTTCCTCTTCTTCTAAAGGACAAGAAGAGGAAACTCCAAGGATATGAGAGGGTGGAAAGTAGTACTACTATACCACACAGACAACTTGGGAAGAAAAAGATTGACCAAGATAACGTAGGTTACTACCTTNGTGGAAAGTAGTACTACTATACCACACAGACAACTTGGGAAGAAAAAGATTGACCAAGATAACGTAGGTTACTACCTTGACAGCTGAAGCACGTAAATCATTGAGTTCTTGTTTATTTCTTCAGAAAAATTGTGTAAATTTGTCCCAGAACTATAAGATTTTGCTATAATTTGCTTCAAAATCTAATAACACAAACATTTCCTATCAAAATAACGTGAATGTTTAATTTTGTAACAATTATGAAACCAATTCTAATAATTTAGGGAATAATGACAAACTCAATATTGAAGGGATAAAATGAGACTTAGCCAGCAATGGGTAAGGAGTCAAGTGTAATTATCTCACTAATGTAATATTAGAAGCTGGATAAGAAGAAGTAAAGACTGGTATAAGTCTGTTGGGATCAGAGAATTCTATAGAACACCATGATGTAGAAGAAATATAAGGGTAATTGGATTCTATATATCATCAAGTACTATATACTAACCACATCTTTCAATGGCAGTCAAAGCCTCCTCAGCTTGGTAACCCATTTCCATTAGAAGTGACAATGCCATATCCTTCTTAAGTAATTGGTCTGTGTGTTCCTGGAACAAAGAAAATAATATCTATGTCATATTGTGAAGTATAAGCAAGAATTTCATGAAAACAATCCAAAACATAAGTGACATGTCTTAATTAATTTTTGAGAAATTAAATTTCAAGGGCGTGAAAACCGAAGAAAATGCATGATGATTTATCTATGCAGAAAATAGTTGCTAATATTTATTTATTGCATGGATACAACCATCAGAAGCAGAGTCAACTTAATGTTACTCACTGTTGGGATCCCAAGTGTCCCACATTGGCCGAGCGTATGATTGAGTATGCGTGTGTGTATGAACTCCTAAATATCCTTTCTTTCTCTAGTAAGTTGGTTTTTAAGGGTGAGTTTTACCTATGAATGTATATCATTCAAAAATAGAGCCCCTATTGTGCATTGAAGAGACGACCTATAGACTAGGTTAAAACTATTGACAAATGAGAAAAGACCATGTCATCGGGTCAATGTCAACAAAATGAGTTGCTGGTGAACGTCAATTACATAAGCATGGTGAAACAATTTTTTTCTGAGTCACCTTNTCAATGTCAACAAAATGAGTTGCTGGTGAACGTCAATTACATAAGCATGGTGAAACAATTTTTTTCTGAGTCACCTTTGTAGATTTTTAAGATACCCTTATTGATTTTTGTTTTTTGTGTATATATATACCTTTCCCATATTGGTTCTTGCCGCCCTCATTACAGCGATCTCATAGGTGGATCACGGGGAATAACTCGCTATAGGAAAACATCAAGCAAGAGAAGGCTTTTACTAAATAAGGCCGGTTCTCCTAAGTAATCAAAGGGCTACGGCTTTCGCGGGCAATCAAGGCGCGAATTCCTAGCTTGGTTCATGCGTATGACTCTTGTATGAAATCAAGATCTCCTATTGTTTGTTAATGGAAGAGGATGTAGGGGTTGAATGAAGTTTGTAAAAACATAAAAACACCATAGTAATTATATGAAGTCAAAAACAAAAAATACCTCATTCCTAGGGCAGCTATCCACATTTGAGAACTCATCCTTAAAAACACTTTCAGGCTTAGAAGAGCATGGTTCATTAGAAACATCTTCTTTTTCTTGGGCAAGGTTCTCAAGGGCCTGCATCATTACTATACAAGTAACATAGATATTCCTAACATAAGTTATATCAAACATTCCTATGATCACACCACTGTACACAAAAAAGTACTTTGAATTATAACATGTCCATCAAAGTATCATTGTACTCGAGATTAAGCGAAAATTACTCACCGAGAATGTAAGAAGAGATTCAAGTACGGCTTCTGCATTACTTTCTCCTATCATAACAAAAATCTGAATCCAAAAATCAACTTGGAAAGACAAGGATATAAGGTTAGACTCGAAATAAGAGTGGGTTTACCATTTTCATGTATTTCTTTAATCACCATTTCTTCTGGAAATCCAATTTCCATAAAATAATGAATTGTACCAATGGAGCTTTGGTCTAATGGTACTTCTTATCTTGCAAAAACTTTGCCTTCTTGAGGTCAAGATTTCTAAGATATCTGTACATTTCCTATATGTCTCTCAACCAAATTATAAATCACCACATCAAATCTCCATCATTTACTCTAGCCCTAGAAAGAAAACCTTACAGAGCTTTCATAAGGCAATTCTTACACACGTAGAAATTAAAAAACTCAGCTAATATATCCCCCGACTTATATTTTTTCTCAACTACAGAGAGATCGATGTTACCATTTCTCAAGGATCACTTGTTGTTTCCTGTGCGTGCTGGATCTTGCATAATATAAACACGAGAACAGATCTCTCCCTTGGTGAACTCGAGTAAGTCAGTTGAGTGGTCAACCCTACTGCTTGGAACAGCCTGTGAGGTCCGGTGGTAACCTGAAACGATAATGGGAGACCCTCGTGGATCAA